TCTCTCTCTCTCTTTCTCTCTCTCCTCTGCCCCCTCTCCCCTCTCCTCTGCCCCCTCTCTCTCTCTCCCCTCTCTCTCCCTAAATTCCATTTTGTTTTTTAATTGGAATTGCAGTCACACTTCCCAGCAGCGAATTGCCAGTGTCCTTTTTTGCTGTCCCTCCTCGGCTCCCATCTTGCAGGACATGCCCTTTGAGGCTACAGAAATGAGAGCCTCCATGTCTGTATTATTCTACTGCAAATGCCTAACTATACAGATTATTCTATAAAGGTTAGCTGGGGCTGCAAACTATTTTGCCTGTGATTTTCTGCTGCAGGACCAATAGGAGCTGAAAAAGGTTGCAGAGGATTACGATGCTGGTGAATATCTGTTGGGTTGCCAACGTGCACTTACAAACAAACCCTGAACCAAATAGGTTGAATGGTAGAACTTAGTCTGAGCCTGTTTCTACCAATGCTCTGTGGTAATACCTACTGGCAAAAGTTGGCATTTTCTCCAATTTAAGCTGCAAATTGTTTTTGTAATTTTTTAGGTGTCATTTATTTTGATTTTGGAAATTCTATATAAAATGCATTCCACAGTGCATTGCAGTTTGCTAAAACCACATAATAATTGCCAAGCTTTCAGGTTACCTATGTATTGTATAGTTGTATTCATCTTGTTTGTTTTCTTTTGCAGCTACTCCAACAACACCAACAGTTCAGAATGTGTTGATCAACCCTTCCTTGATTGGATCAAAGAACATTCTCATAACTACAAACATGGTGCCATCACAGAATGCAACAAGTGAATCCAATTCGTTAAAGCGGAAACATGAAGATGATGAGGATTATGATGTAATATAAACTCTATTTGGCTCAGTTAGTATGTACATAGTATTAGTAATTTTTGACATATTTTGCGAACTGAAATTAAAAGTTTTGAACTTTTCATAAAAGGACTCAAGAAGAGCAACACTTTAAGTTTTTTTTTTGTTGTTTTTTTTTACTGCTTGGAAAAAAATAAACAATGTGCTCCTGTACTGGACTTTATTCCTTTTCTTAGCGTATTTAATTGGGTGTGCTTTTAGTACAGGGCTCAGTTTTATAACCTAGATTTATTTATTTATATTGGTGGTCCCCAACATTTTTTCTCTTGCATACCCCTTGGCAGCTCATTTCCATAAATTGACACCCCCATTGAGGGTGGAGTAGGGTGCCGGGTACTATGCATACTATTCTGACTCCGATTGTTGTGATAGCGAGATATATCCCTTGCTGAGACCTCTATGCCTGGCCTGTATAAGCAGATATACTCACTGCGGACAATCCTCGTCAGATATCTGAACTCGTCAATACCGATTCATTCAAAAAGGGTGTTTATTCTTCTACATCAGGTTACAGCAGATGATAGGAACAGCAGTTGAACGGTTATAGTTTTGTGCGGTCAGAAAATGATGCCTTTCCTCCGTACTGTGCAGATTATATGTGTGTCCTGTTACATGTGGCTTCTAGCTTCTCCATGACACAGGAAGTACTGCACACAGGAAGAAGGGTGGGGCTACATACACTAGGGGAAAAATACATCGTCACATGAGGAATAATTACAGAAAGCATGTTTGTTACAACAAAAGGCCACTAGATGGCAGCATAGGATAACATGAATTTAGCTCTGAGAAAATAGTTAGGCAAATCACACTATATAAATTCTAACCTGTATAACAATGCTAATATTAACTGAGGCTATGCATCTCATATTCTATGCTCCTATTGGGGCGGCACACATACTGAACGAGATGGTGGGTTTGGCCAAGTTGCGGTAACAGTACGGTAAGGGGTTGTAAAGTGATATGATTAGAAACTTTTCTTGTTTTGAACACAGGGTAGTTCTTGTTGTAGGATTTTTTGCTGAAAACGGTAGGAAAGCCAATGTATGTGTAGAATTTGTATTTGTACAAACAGATTAGCGTGTTTTCTGTTTTATCACACCTTTGTGCACACATTAGTGTACTAGCCTTGTTTACTGTGGTGTGGATTTAGCAGTCTGAGCTCATCTTTGAGTGGGCAGGTTAACCTATATTCTGATTTATGATTTGTTTTTCACATTATAGATCTTTTTTACCCAAGTATGTTGAGGAAGAACTCATAGCCTCATTTCCTCATAGCAAATGATCAGATTCACACTTGCTGACAATTTGAATCATGTGATAGCTTCTTGAATTATTTAAGGCCTCCAGTGTTGGGATATCCCCACTGGAATTTCCTGTTCCACATAATTTCTGCAACCATTACAAAGCCAAATAAAAGCATTAGGTTTCCCTGATTTAGATTCTCTGTAACAAAGAATAAAGAGTGTATTGCTGGCAACATGGAGACTTTAACATATTAGATTGTTTCTGTCAAATTTGAATGACTGTTCCCTTTGATCCATGGCTGATTTCTCATCTCCTGTCAATGACTGATATGCTTGTGACCTTTCCTATTCCACCTCGCAGGTTCACTCTTTGTAAAGCTTTATTGAAAAGTCAGCTCTTCTCAAAACACATTTCCATTTTGTTACATTTTTGCAGGTTGGATCACCTGCTGGCTTTCTTATAAGTCCTGCACATCCAAGATCCAGCCACCATGATGTAGGGAAAGTGTCCTTTTCTTGTAGATGAAATACCGGGTAACTTTTACACTGTTCTGCCAGATTAACCCAAAAATGCTCAACGTGTTCTGAAATAGAATAGCAGATGATCCTACCAGGCAGAAGCTTCATGTAGCAGGTTTAATAAGAACAACTGCGCTTGGGAACAAGCAACCCTTTTTTATTGAAATTTTACAATACAACCATATAGGCTGCATTATGATTGGTTGCCAATGCCTACGTCACTCTTGCTAATCGTAAATCTCACATTTCTGCAGACAGTATGTCTGCTAAGTTGTTATAGACCCTTCTATATGAATTCTATCTGAGCCCAAGCACATGGAATGACACATTCAGCTTTCTCAAATTATAAGACTATCTGGCAGACACACCAAGGTTTGAAAAAATATACAAGCCATATCCTTCCTTAACCAATCCTTTACCGTGAGCAATGCCGATTTTGTTTGACACCATATGGATAAAAAACATGTTTTAATAAGACTTATAATTGGTACCTACCAATTCACACAAACCGCTTAGTATACACTTATTGGGATTTTTTTAACCAAATTTTGGCCTAACTTTAGCAAGAAATTTTATTTTATTTTGATATTTTGTATAACAATAAGTAGAAGATATCATTTTTTTCCCCATAATGTTTAGTCTTTTTTCATTTATATATAAAAAACAGCGGTGATCAAATAGCACCAAAATAAAGCTAGCTCTATTTGTGTCAAAAATGAGGCCCCCCCCGTCCCCCCAAATCAATCCATAGTTCAATGCTCTAGACCAAGGGTGCCAATTAGGTAGATCGCGATGTCCTGTCTTCTCTGGATCCCCGCTGCTCTCCCCCATCTGTATGCAGCGGGGATTCAAGGAAAAGTGAAGCTGCAGTCGGCGGCGGGGGCTGGAGCCGCTATCACAGCAGCACACCGAGCGGTGAGGAGAGAGAGACACTCGGCCTGGATCTGACAGCCGGCGGCTCTCTCTCTCCTCACCACACATGCTGCTGGCTCCGTGGTGTGCCAGAGAGGAGAAGTTGCAGACCCGTGGCCGAGCGGCAGAGGATCGGTACATATCAGTGATCTGTATCAGTCCTCTGTGCGGGACAAACACTGGAGCGATCAGCTGATCACTCCAGTGTTTGTAAAGAACTGGGGACACATAGTACTATCTGTCCCCAGTTATGAATGAACAGGATGTGATTTACATCACTTCCTGTTCATTCATGAGTTCCTCAATGGGGAGAAGCACTCACTACAGAGGCTCCTCCCCATTCAGAAACTGGATGGTAGTAAAATATTTTCTGAATGAATGGGAAGCCTCTGTGCTCTTCATTCATTTAGAACAGGGGCTGCAGAAAAAGAGATTGAGGACTTTGTGTCCTCAATTCCTTATTCCATTTTAAAAGGGAAATATCAGGGGGCTGTTTAGACCCCTAATATTTCCCCGAAGCCACCCTAACAGTAAAAAGAAAAAAATTAAATAAGAAATAATAAAAATAAAATAAAAAATCCTGGGGGGCAGGGCACTGGGTGATGTCACACGCCTGTTGGGGGGCACCTTTTTTTTTTCTTGCCACGTGCGCAAAAGGAGCTGGCTATGCTTCTGCGGTTGCCGGCTGAATGTGTCAGATGCCGCAGATGGAAAGGGGTGGGACACCTTTCCCCGTGTGCAACGTCGGCCACATGTGCACCGCGGGAGGATAGGACGCCGGCGCCTCTAGAATGCACTGGAATGCAAGCCGGCCGACTCCCTGCGTTCAGGGGCGGGAGGGGGCGTGGCGTTGCACCGCAGCCATGTCCCCCGTCCACAGTTCGATTGCCCGCACCCAGAAAGCATGCACATTAGTGCCTGCATTCCGTTCCAGTGTGACCTGCAAAAATAGTGCTTGCAGCATTTTTGCGGATCGCACTGGACCGGAACGCAGGTACCAATATGCCTGGGTTCCGGGTGCAGGCGATCACACTGTGAGCGAGGGGCCTGGCTGCAGTGCCATTGACTTCAATGCACCGTCACTGAACGCAGGTGTTTTTTCGTTGGTAGATCTCATTGAACTCGTCATTTGAAAAGTAGATCTCCAGACTAAAAATTGTGGGTGCCCCTGCTCTAGACCAACTGTTCCCTTGCCTATGTTTCCCCCTCCTGATCCACCTTCAAATCACCTCATTATCCAGTGCTGCTTTGTTCATTTAGGAGCCACTTCTGGGCTTGCTTCAATTTTCCAGCGGTGCCCTGCTAATCGGTCAAGGAGGAGAGAAGGGACTTGAGGTAGCTCAGAAGCGGGTCTAAAGCCACTGATCCACCATGGAGGCCCACTAGATAGCAATACATTATACAGCAATGCGGAATACCACCAGCTATAGAGGACTACAAATCCAAGCAATACATTATATAGCAACGCAGAATAATATGAAGCTACATACTCTGTGTTGGTCCAGGGTGGTGGCCTGAGGTTTCCAGGGTCTCTGGAGGGCTGAGCAGGGTCTTAGGTGGGCTGTGCGGAGTCTCAGGTGGGCTGGTGGGGTCTAAAGTTGGGCGGATTATTATTAACGTTTTTGTTTTATTTTATTTTTTTACTTTTTTTTTCATTTTAATTTCTTTTATTATTTTATAACCTTTTTTTTCCCACGTAGCCCCTGCGTGATAGCAATAAAGTTAACAAACTCCTGTGTGATAGCATTCGGAGGTGACAGGTTCTGTTTATGAGCCTGCCCTCCAGTACAGGCACTGGACTCGGGACTGAGGAAGGCACTGGACTTAGGACTAAAAACAGAAGTATACTCACAGATAATACAAGCCCTCCCCAGCCCCTGCTATCTGATTGCCTGCTCTGTTTTGGTGCAGCCTTCTGATCCTTATCACTGGAAGGACATCCTGCCTCCTGCAGAGCCCGCACTGAGGCATGTACAGATCATTCAGGCCCAGACAGGCACATGTACGTCTGAAGGGATGCCGGGGATGTCCTGTTTGATAAAACATTGGCCTAAGTGAAAAACATTCAGCCGTCACAGATGTTTTATCAAACAGGACATCCCCGGCATAGTAGTGGGTTTGAGTAGGGTGGAAGCACAGTGCACTTTAGATAATATATATTGTGAGTGTATTTAATCACTGTATCAGATATGGTGTCCATTTAGAATTGGATTGGGGTAGGAGCGCTGATTTATTCAACTAAAAGTATCTGGATAGACAAGTCTGAGGAATGTGGAATCATGCCGGCATATCTATGGCCATTCTTAGTTTTTCCAATTATAACTGATAAAACATTCTGTAATATAGCGCAATAAAATCTCAGCTTTATAGAAAGACAACCTTCCAGCATTCTT